GATCGGGTGCGTTCAGGGTGGGATGGCGTGGACTAGAAGGCACTGGCCGCCTTCCGGTTGCCCTGCCCACCTGTTCCCCCCTCCCACTTGGACTCCGCTCTGGACAAATTCTCTTTCGCTCCTTCACTCTGAGATCTCTGCTGGTGTCGTCCTAACGGGGGGGGGGGGGGGGGGCGCTCCCCCACCACCACCCAAGCTCAGCCCCATGGATCTTCAAGGAGAACTCAAACCTCCACAAATTCAAATCAGAAGCCAACGTTCCCTCTTCTGCGTAAGAATTTGTGACGCTGGTTACACTCGATTGCTTACTGCTCGGTCCTTGGAGCTCTCTTATTAACTAGCTCCCCTTTGTCCTGTGTTTGTTCCCGTGAAGGGATGGGACGTTGCTTTGTGGTTCCGCATCTCAGCACTACACATCTTGCTGGATAAAAATATTTATGGTCTTGTTAGCTTAAATATATGGTAAAACAATCTAAGGGTGTCTAAAAGCATGTAAACAGCTTGAAAATAGATCAATGCCACAGATTTACATAGGAAAGGGTATGCAGTGCACTTACTTAATGAACAAGTTTTATTGACTCCTTTGAAATTAGTAGCATGAAGAATTCAATTTTTATGGCTGTAATTAAGGATGACACCAGGAAAAGGAATGCATGGTGACTAAGGAGCCACCTTTAGAAACCACCTGACACGCTGACTGTATCTTTTTTTTTTTTTTTTTTTTCTGACTGTATGTGATTAAAAGACTAGAGCACTGTTTTGGGGGTGTTTTGTTGTTGTTGTTTTGTTTTGTTTTTTTGAAACAGGCTCTTGCTCAGTAGTCCAGGCTGGCCTTAAACTTATGATCCTCCTCCCTCAGCCTCCTGAGCACTGACATTATAGGCATGTGTGACCAGCTGTAACACCTTCCCAACAGCTTATGTGTGTGTGTGTGTTTGTGCGTTTCGTGAACATTTTTAGAGTTGGCCCCTATGTATGTAAATATAAGATTACCACAACATTTAATACCTTAATTGAGACCATTTGAAAACCACTCTGATATATTATTACATTTTTCTAGGACTGTCCATTTCCCATAATTTTATTATAAACAACCTCCCACAGAAGGTTAAGAAACAAGCCCAGACCATAGACAAGGTTATTTTTTATCATCCTTTTGATTGCCAAGCAAGCAGTTTTTTCCAATCATAAAAGAAGCCAAACCCTTGTATTTCGTCATAGTTTGTCCCCATGCAACAGTGCATGCTGGGACTTAGAACTGCTAAATAGGCTTAATGTCTATGATCAATGGGAAGCTAGCCAGGACTGCCGGGCACAGAGCACTCTGAGCCCACTTCCTGGACTGCCCACAAACAGCACTGGGTGTGACAATAAAGTGACAATATTGGATTTCTCAGTCTGAGTGGTCACGCCATCAGAGGAATCCGGGCTGAGCATCGAGGCTGCAGGTTTTCACACCATTCTCGGAGGCTTATCCTTTCCCATCTCCCTCTCGGTGATTATGTTGATGAGCTCTAATCTCACAAAACCCCATCTCAATCCTCTGAACCCTGTTTGGGTAAAGATAAGCCAAAGGAAAATTTCTCCCACTGGGTGGTGGATTATTGCTAGTAAAAAAATTCTGCATATGTCGGGGCAGGGTGCACACAAGAACTCTCTCTACTTTCTGCTCAAGTTTATTATAAATCTAAAACTGCCCAATCATGATAACTTCTTCAAGGGACAAAACTTAGAAAATGAGTTAGCATCTTAGAAGAATGTTCTTAAGTGGACTTTCATCATAATGGCAAGCATTCATTAAAGGCTGAGTGCATGCCAGCCACTGGTGAGGCACTTTACATGTATTAACTCATTTACTACTCCCAGGTCCCCAGGAGGGAAGCACTTTCTTGTCATCTGCATTTCAGAGAAGAAAGTGCTGCACGGAGAGGTACTGTCCTTGTCCGAGGCTGCCAGGGTAAAGAAGGCAGAACCAGGATGCAGCCCTGGCAGCAGAGGGTCTAGAGTTGGTTGCTTTCACTCATTTCCTGAGAATACAGAGTAACAGACAAAGCAGAGGCACTGCTAGTTTTACCCAAAGAGAATAACCAGAGCATATCACGGGCCAGACCCCTGCTCCCCGCTGTTCCCCAGGGCAACTGAAGCTGTCTCTTGATGGTCCTGAAGACAGGCCCCACTGAATCACAGTCAGTTCTACTTTAATGAAGCCTTAGAGCTTTTGCCAACCCAGAGCATGAGGCGCACCTTCTTCCCAGTTCTCTTGGTAACAAGATCTCTCTTGCTTTTGGAAATGTACTTCACAGCCACCCCTGGTTGTCCAAGACCAAGGCTCATAAGACCTCAGTCCTAGCAGGCTACTAAACTGACAGACAAAAGACAGCATTCTGTGTCCTAAGTGGCCTCCCAAAGAAGTGCTTTACAGAATGAAACACATATATAATTAAACAGAATATGGCAGGATCCACAGCAGAGAGGAGAACGGAAACCAGAGTCAAACACAAGACATTTGTGTGAACTGAGAAATGAAAGTGGGTCATTCAGCCACTAGCGCTGCACACATGTCCTTTCACTCTTCCTCCGCTGCCTGGACTTATCTGGCACCTCTTTTTAGCCTCAGTGACCCAACTGTATTTGAGAATCCCTGAACTGGAGAGACATCCTTTTACAGAGCCCTTGGCTGAACCAGTGCTCCTGATATGGGTGGAAATGTTCACCTGCACAATGGCAAGCCCACTTGCAGCTCACTCCAAACAGCTGTGTTGCGTGGCTCTGGATCAAGCTGAAAAACTCATCCAGATCTCATGAGCCATTTCACATTTACCATTAGCAAACTCAAGCAGGAGCAAACCTTACTGTCTCAGGTGGTTTCCCTCACATGCATGCAGCCATGTGTATGGCCTCCAAGCAGCTCCGTAAAGAACCAGAACACTGTGGATCAGAACCAGGTGTGCACCCACACGCACATACATGTGCCCCTTACCTCTACCTAGCAACAAATCTATTTTTAAATTATTATTTTTAATCAACAAAAATTGTATGCATTAATGGTATTCAACATAATGTTTTGATACATGCATACATTGTGGAATGGCTACTATCAAGAAGTTAGGTAATGGGGTCCAGGGAGATAGCTCAGTAGAATAAGTGCTTGCCTGGCAAGTGTAGGGTCCTGAGTTCAATCCCCAGTACCGGAAAAAAAAAAAAAAAAGAGAGAGAATATTCATTTGGAGCTGGGAAGATGGCTCAGTAGAATAAGTGCTTCCCTGACAAGTGCAAGGGCCTGAGTTCAATCTCCAGTCCCACAAAAAAAAAAAAGCTAGCTAACATACAAATTGCCTTACACGCTCTTCTGGTGGCAAATCTAAAGCTCTTTTCTTGAAGTCAAAACTGTTTCAACACAGTAACATAATATTCCCTCACTAAGATCTTTTGTTACCTAAGGTAGAAGAGAAATATAGGGGAATCAACATTGAGATGAAACTAAAGCTCAGTATGTTTCGTAGGCTAGAAACTGATTATGAAGTACAGCAATAGCAAAGGATTTTTTCTCTTCATTCTAGTGGGCCATAAATGTGGGTTCTTTCAGAGGTGAACACAAAAGATCTGGGGCTCAGTTCAGCTCTGAGAGAGGATTTCTATCCACACTTTGTTTTTTTGTTTTTTGTTTTTTGTTTTTTTTTTACAGTTTCAAAACTGATTATTAGGACAGTTTCAAAAACTAATACATTGTACATTGTTGTCTTCTTAGTATCTATCCACACTTTGAGATGTCCACATCTTCAGAGTGAGGAATGGGCTTCAAGTGGGCCTGGCCAGCAAACATTGTGGAATGGCTACATCAACTGATCTAGCACAGACCAGACTGAAAGGATGTTATTTGGTCTCTATGAAAGCCCAGTTCTTTTCTCTTCCCAATCCCGAAGTGTGTGTTGGGGGTAAAATTAGCATTGTTTCAAATACCACTTCCAGCTGCATAGCTCTTTCATTTGGCCTCCTGCTCCCTCTTACAGCCCCACTGTGCCTTGGTTGTGTGTCCCTGTGTGCTGTTCAGGAATTGCATTTCAAATTATTCAAGTGTTTAAGCCCATGTTATTGCAAAAGTAGTTTCCAGCTCAGAATTTTAGAACCGCATGAGCAATGACTCAATCTTGAGGAATACCTATTGAATGCTGGTAGCCTTCATCTCATCAGCTACTGCTAATACCCCTGGTTGCCAAATGAAATCAAGGTGTAGGTAGAGAGGCTAAGTGACTCAATGTTTTGATCCTCTTGTCTCAGCCTCCTAGTGCTGGCCTAAACCTGCTTTCTTCCTGGAGGTCTCCAGCTAGCAAGGATGAACAAAAGCTGAAAGGACAAGGAGGCAGTAGCTGAGGTCTAGGCGTTCTCATATCCGCATTCGTTCCCGAGATGAGAGGACTCTGCTGTCACATCCTTTCATCTCCTACTGGCCTAGAGACCCAAGACTTCCTATTTCTCTTCCCCTTTTTGATTCCAAGAGTCGCCACCGTGTGTCCAGAGCTAGAGATCAGTCAGTCGTTCCGTCTGATCCACCAGAACCCGCAACTAAGCCATCTGCCAACCTTCCTCCTCCTACTCCCAGAGGACACCGGATCTCACTCAGCCCCCCAATCCAGCTTGTGGTCACAATCGCCCCTCTTCACCCACACAGTATCAACACAAAACAGGACCCATTCTAGCCAGCTCCTTTATCCCTGCCCCCTTGGGGGGGCTTTACCCAATAGCATCTTGGCCCAGGGGCCAAAGACGTCAAAAACAACCAATTGTCAAAGAACTCTCCTTTATATGCTCCCGCCTCCATTCTGAGGAACAGCTCTGCTGACCAATGGACTGCCAACAGGGTTCAAAGAACGCGCCAGGCAAATAGAGTAGCGGTTGAGCTACCCAATGAACAGGCCGGTTCCCGCGGTTAGGGGCGTGGCAGAGTCGGTCGCCAGGGGCGTGGCAGCAGTTGCCTGGGCGGGGCCGGTAGCGGCGGGAGACGCTCAGGCCAGGGGTTCCGGCTGTATTTCTATGAGCGCAGCCGGCAGCTGCGGAGCTGCGGGAACCGGACAGGGGCCGAGCTGGACAGCTGTAACCATCCACGTTCAGGTAAAGCCATAGTCGAGCGAGGCTCGTGGGCCGGAGATAGCACCCCGGAGCTGTCGGGCCTGAAACCCCAGCCCGCGGTCCCCACCTTGGCCCGGCCGGTCACCCCACAGTATACGCGCCCGGGGTCCTTGGGATGTCTCAGAGGACTGTCACTCGGCGCCGCAGGGGTCCCGAGGGCCGGCTCGCCAGGCGGCTGGGGGAACCCGGACCGCAGGGGATACGCCTTCCGGAAGGTCCTTTGTCCCCTTGTGCTCCGGGAACTGAGATGGGAACAGCCCCGACAGCGGCCTCCCTGCGGCCATCCCCGCTCCCGCTTGCGCACTCCCGGGGCCCCTGAGGTCGGACCCAGGGGCTTGAGGGCGGGGCTCGATGAAGGTCCAGGGTCTACAGCTGGAGAAGGAAAGGATCGCGGGGCCTGATCACAACCCCGGAAATTCCTTGAGTCTCTGTGTTTGGGGGCTCCAAGGGCGCATCCGGGACCATTGGGTTCAAGTTCTAGTTAGGCAGCTGTTGACCCAGTCGGAGGCGCCTTAGTGAGCACGGCCCACGCCAGGCACTGTTCTAGGCACTTCGTGAGCTTCCCAAGACGAGAGCTGTCCAGCAGCGCTGGAGGCGGTCTGTTCGCCAGGCCATCAGCCAGCGCCACGACCTTGGAAGTGTCCAGGCAGGAGCCGGATGACAGCCACCTGTCAGGGATGCTTAAGAAGGACTCCCAAGGGAGGAATGTACGATTCATAGCTGTAAGGCTCTTCTCCACCCACAGACACACACTGTGTGCCATCTAATGCCTAGATTAGGGCAGATACTTCTAAGGGGTCCATTAAGTTCGAAGTGGGTGTTAAATTCACCCATAATAAATCCTGAAGTTTCAGCTCTCGTGTGGGTGTGATCACAGAGAATAGGTCATACCAGAAGATGTACCAGAAGATAAATAAGACAAACGCTTTGTTTCACCACCTTAAAAGACCTTAATTTAAACTACTGTGGATTTGGTTTTCCTAATTCCTCTGTTTTGTTTTTTTCTTCTTGCGGAACCGGGGATTGAACTCAGACCCTTGCGCTTGCCAGGCAAGCGCTTATTCTACTGAGCCATCTCCCCGGCCCCAATTCCTCTGTTTTGCTGGCACCGGTTTCTCAGTTTCGCCTGTGTTCCAGTCACCAAACCCAGAGACAGCTGCCAGGAACAGGGTGAGGAGAAAGACCTCCAGAGTCTGCAGGTTTGGCAGAGTCAACACGATTAGTACCTGGCGCTTTTCAAGGGCCATTTGGTTACAGTCATATAAAGCAGAGTCCAAAAGAGGGGCAATCTATTTTTTCCTCTTCATTACCTTCTGTCATTTGCCTGCACAGAGAGGACATGATCTACTGAAGGTCAGGAGGCAGAGAAGGAATCTGAACATCACTTGTTGCCTGTTTGAGGATGAATTAACCTGTAAATAAATAGCCAGTCAGAAAGCAGGCCAGGCCATATACCACTGATTGTCAGCGTGTGCTTGTGGCATTTTTAGAGCCACAGACCTTACATAGAACTCACCCAGTTCAATCTTCTCAATGTATAGGCAAGGAAGCTGAGGCCAGGGGTCACCAGGCTGGCTGGTAAGCCCTGAGCCATGACTAAGGGTTGTTTTCTTTCTGTTGTACATCTAGTTAGCAGTATCTCTTATTCTCAGTGTTTAAATTTCAAGGGACCCCGGAGAGGCTGAGAGCACAGATTTTGTTGTTCAAGTACCTGGATTTGAGTGTTAGACTTGCTTTTACAAGCTGTGCAACTTTGGATGTTCCTTAACCTCTCTGTAAAACAAGAATAATAATGGTACTCTGGTTAGAAAAGTTTTTGCAAAGTGCATGAATTACTATAGTGGAAATGTTTAGAACAGTGCCTATTGCATAGTAACTACTATAGATTTTCTAATTAGTATGTTGTTACCTTTTTTTTTCCATATCTAGCAATATTTTCCAACAGGAGGTAGTTCCTCCCCCACCCCAAGTCATTAAACATACCCCAGATTTCATTTTAGCATAGACATCTGTAGGGATCCCCAAGTCTCACTGTTTTATTTGCTCTGCCTCTGAGCTACATCCCCAGCCCCCATCCTTTTTTTTTTTTTTTTTTTTTTTTTTGAGACATACTCATACTGGTCTTGAACTTTCGATCCTCCTGCCTCAACCTACTAGGTAGCTGGAATTATATATGTAAGACTCTGCACTTGGCTGCATTTTATCTCTTATCTAGTTTTCTTCTTTTTAAAAAAAATTGATTTTGCTGGTACACTTTTGATATGCATAATGATCACATTCATCATAGGGAATTTGTACCTGTACATAATATATCTTTTATACAATCAGATAATTCAGTTTCTATTAGTTGTCTCCTGTGATTACTCTTCTTAGATGACAATTTTTAGAAATTAGCTTTAAAGGGGGTAGAAGGGAGTCTGTCCAAGTGATAAACAAAGCCTGAGATGATACACATCTCCACAGTAGCCTTCCAAATATGTCCGGCCTACCTCCCCAGTTGTCAGTGCGGGGCAGCTTGATTATAAATGGACGAACATTTTTAGATTAAGATTTCATGAGGCGCTGTATTAAGTGCTTTTCGGAAGTTCAGGGATCGTATGTCAAATGCATTTAAGCAAGTGCCTTAGTCATTTGAGTAGGGGGAGCAGAGGCAGCGCATGCCTGGCCTGGTAGGAAGAAGCATGTGACGAGTTCTGGCTGGTAATCTAATTTGTCAGTAGCTTATCTGCATTTTGCCTGTTCTTTTCCAGAGCTTGAAATAAACCACATGGCAAGTGCCTCCCCTTCTAGCTGGAGAAGTTCCCATTCTTTCCTTCTACTTTCACTTTCATTCCCTGACTCTCTGGTTTTGATCCACAGGCCCCTAGCTAGCTGGTAGCTAGTTCCCTTTCACTGGGGAGATGCTTGTCACCTCTTATTTTTGTGCAGAAATCCAGTCCCCTTTTTTTTTTAATCTATGTACTACACTGAATCAGCGATGATAGCTTTTCATTGGTCACACCTTCTTTCCCTTATTTTTCCTAAGAATTGGTTCTGGGTTTCAGCTTTTGTTTAGGCTGCTGCTTTGGTATTAATGTAAGCTCTTTCTCATAGGACTTTGGTAGAAGGGCTTCTTATTCCCTGATATTCCTTGCTTCATTCATCCTTTTCCATCTTTCCACTGGTAATCCTGGGCAGGGCCAGCTCCTGCCTAGGGAACAGCCATTTTCTGGTCGTTTGGAAGTGTGGGAAAGAGCCAGTCTTATCATTTGCCTAGAATCTGGTACTGTGAAAAGCCCTGCAGGAAGACATTTCCAACCTAATGAGAGTTCCATGTGGTGGCATTTCTGCCCCTACCTACTCCTTACAATACTCTGATTCATGTCGGGGGATGGGTTTCGAGCCCTCTTCGACCAGCTGAAGAGCATCAATGATGTGGGGTATGAGGTACTTTGGCCTTTTTATTCATTTATTTATTTTTTTTTTTTTCTGTATTTGCTACAGGGTCTCACTACCCAGGTTGGGCTCATAGTGATCCTTCTGTTTTCAACCTCACCGGCGCTGGTATTACAGGCGTGTGCCAACACACCCAGACTCAGCAGCCAGCTCAGTGCATCTGGGAGTGGGGCCTGTATAGCATGTAGTGTCGAATCCCAATCCCTGCACTTGCCTAAGCAGGCGCTTAGTCCACCGAGCTATCTCACCATCCCTTGCTTTAGCCTTTCTGTGGCATCTTGGACTAAACTGCCCCAATGAACAAAGCAGTAGACATGCATGTGCCCCCAAAGTGGTCTGCCGTTTGGGGCCAGTGAAGGATGAAGGCCATTCCTACTCTGCTTCCCGGCCTGCATGGCTTCCCCAGGTGCTGACATTGTTTCCCTTAAGGATCCTTTTTACATGTGCAGATTTATTTTTGTTGTCTTGGTTCCAGGGCATCATGTTTGGGGATTAAAGATTCTCTGTTTATGAAACGGTTGGTGTAGACAGATGACGAGCCCTGCTGGTCCCCATGAAATGCGTGCTCCGATTGTAACCCAGGGACCGTTCTCTGATTTTTCATAGTGGTTAAGTAGCAGACAGGTAAAGACTTGATTAAATAATTGGAACATTGATGTCCTGAGCTTTGCCTGGTTTTTCATTTTCAACAGAGTGAGCATTTGGTGTGTACTAAGAACACAGTTAATGAAATTAATGTATTTTGTTGTATTAAAAGTATGTATTTTAAAGTTGTTTATACATATTTTAAATTCATGTGGTTAATCAAATTTTGCTTTTCCAAGCTAATGCATTTATATGATGAAAGAAACTATTTCAAAGGCAAAACAGGTTAGATAGTAAATGTATCTCTGTCCACCCTTGCTCCCTGCCACTAGTTTTACCCATGAGAGGCAGCCATGTCACTGATCCTTTCATCCTCCAGAGGTGGTCTGTGCACTTTGAATATATTTTATACATCCACAGCATATTTGTTATGAATATTCCACCTACTCATCCTTTTCACACAAGCAGCAGTGTATTATATGCATACTATTTAGAAACTTCTTTTTTTTTTTACTAAATATTCCTTGGCAGTATGAAAAGGCTTCCACGTCACTTTTTATGAAAGCTGTCTATTTTAGATACTTGTTTCCTGTTTCTGGGGATGCTGAGAGGAAGCCTTATTCGGGCAGCAGCTTCGGAATGGACATCGTGAGGCATTTTGTGGCTGTTGGGGGACAAATGTTTTTCTTCTCTGCGTTCTGCAGCCGAGACTTGAGATGATGTGAAGGCTGCTCCTCAAGGTCACGGTGTGAAGAGAGAGCTGGGGCACTGGACAGTGAGCAGCTTCCAGGAGACCTCGGGCCCTCCGCCAGGACGTCCTGGAGGTGGGTGGGGCGGAGGAGTTTGCGGTGTTCTCTCTGATCTCTGAGGAAAGTCTCCTGACCTCCCAGAGCACTTTTCTGGCATCCCTGTCGCGCCCAGCCCTGTATCTGCAAGACACCACAGTATACCCTGTGTCACCC